GCAGGGGAAGGCCTGGCATTTACTTACTGCACAGGTGGGCAGCAATGGAGAAGTTGCAGTAGGACTCCATGCCTATCAGGAGGATGCTGGTGCTTCTGCCCAGGAGGGCTGGACTTGGCAGGTACTCAGGATCTTTGAGGGCATTTCATTCCTGTGAGGGAGTGAGCAGGAGGTGTTGCACCCCAACCAACAGATTTTAGCCTCCTGCTGCAGTGCACTCCCTGCTCGGAATGGGACAGGGCAAGTAGATGCAGGTCCAACACCACAGTAAATGGATGCTATAGAACTGGTTCTTTCCTTCCAACACATGGGTTTCAGTACTCAAATCCAGGTCATCAGGGTTGAGAGCCAGTGCCCCTATCTGTTGAGCTATCTCATGGGCTCCTCCACCTTGATTTTTGAGACAGTATCTCCACTGACTGTTTAGGCAGGCTAGATAATGAGGTTCAAGGACCACTTGCCTCTGTCCTCCCAGCTCTGGAGTCATGGATGACTCCATCACACTGGGCTTCTTACATGGACGCAGAAGATCAGGGCTAAGCTCCTCATGTGAGCAGCACTAACTGGTCCTTCTTCCCAGCACTCTGACTTTCTGTAAAATATAATCACTTGGGGGAAAAAAAGACTAAACCTTTTGCCAAACTGCTATATCAGTGTTTGAACAGTGGCCAATAGTGAGCAAGTTTCACCTTGGGCATCTTGACTATATTTTCAATAATGCATATAAGAAAAGTATTTACTCAGGAAAGAAATGGGCAAGCCTCTTGACGCACAGCTCATTAGACAAAATCTACTCAGAATATGTAAAAAGAGGAGAAGTGAAAAGAATGCTCATGCTTTTGTAGGAGAAGTGACATTTTTGTTAATGTACAGACAAAAATGCCTGGAAGAACACAATGGACTATTAGTAGCTGATGGTTTCTAAATGTAGGATGAAGGAAATTCTGTTCTTCTCTTTGATTTTTTTATTATTTATTATTTGTTTTTATTTTATGTGCATTAGTGTTTTGCCTGCAAGTATGTCTGTATGAGGGAAGGTGTTGAATCCCTTGGAACTGGAGTCACAGAAAATTGTGAGCTGCCATGTGGGTTCTGGGACTTGAACCTAAGACCTCTAGCAAAGCAGCCAGCTCTTAACCACTGAGCCATCTCTCCAGATCCCTGATTTAAAAAAAGACAATGAATGTAAGTTAGTTAATAATTTGTCTCAAATGCAGACAAACCACTCACCCAGTCTCTGCCACTTTTCCCTGAGCTCAGTCTGGCTGGGGTGACTAGTGAGGTACTTCCTGGCAGTCCAGCTTCCAGGTAAGCTTCTCTAGGGTTGAGTTCTATTTCTGGTCCCTAAGATTTCTCCACACATGGAGACATGGTGATTACATGACCCCAGCCAGCACCTGTTTTCTGGGCCCCCATCTTGTTTGCAGCCAGCAGAAGTGGTCTCCATCTTAAGACATGCCACAGTGCGGGCCCAAAAGCACTCCAGCTCCAGGGCAATGGGCTCGGCTGGCCTCGAATGATCTAGGCATGGACAGTTAGCCAGCTTTAACGAGGAGGGTAAAGGGGGCGGGTACTCTAGGTAGGGGAAGAGTCTTACCCAAGCAGAGGTGTGAAGAAAAGAAGCCACTATCCATTTATAAGATGCCTTATTGTATGCACAGCAGCTTCCACTTGATGAGGAGGCCCCTGGGAACTGCTGGGCTGTCATGTGTGATCAGCATCCCCACACTGGGATGCTGGTAGGAGTAAGGGCTGAGGGTCAGGCTGGCTTGGTTGACAAATCTCTCGTATTTCCAGACTGTCTGTGACAACAGAAAGGAAGCTGCCGCTACCTGCACAGCATTATATGCAACCCAGGTGTCATCTTTATCCCTTAAGCTTGCCACAGTGCCTGAAATCCCATCTTCAGCTGTCAATCTTCTGGGTGCTGTCTCTATAATAAATACGAATGGGCTGGAGATGGATACCTCTCAAGCCATATATCAGTTGTCCCCAGAGTGTCCACCCATGCTTAGTATTTACCCAGAGGACTTACTAATACTGTCATTTCCATGTCCTTCTTCATGCTTGGGGTGCTGTAGCCCCACACAGACAGGCAGGCCTCCACCCTGGACCTTTTTACATGAAGTTCCCTCCCCACTTTATCCCTGCCCCTACTCTGCTTGTCTGGGCTGGGGCCCTCTTTGTGAGCCTCCTGGGATCAGGACACAGACATTTTGGTCTCAGCTCTTCCCCATTCTGCAAACCTTGAGCTGTAAACGAACCCTCTCTGGGACTCAGGTTGGGTGGGAGGGTCACCCAGGCTCCTTCAGGATTTAGACTCAGTCACATCTAGGCCCATTGTTTTGTGGGGGGGGACTGCACTGGGACCTGGCCCTTTGTGCTTTTAACATCAGCTGTCAGGACAGGCTATGCTTGTTGTGATGTCAGGGCAGGACTCCCCCGGGCATCTGGCCCAGAGTGTCAATGCTTTTTTCTTTCACCCGATTCCTAGGGTAAGGGCGGAATACTTTACAATATAAACGGCAGAACTATCAGACGCTTGAGAGCAGATACAAACTCTGTGTATTTGTATGTATGCATATGCATGTGTGTTTGCCCATGTGTACAGTGTGGGCGCCAGAGGCCACGACTACCAGTGTATTCCTCTATTGTTCACCATCTTAGTTTTGAGATAGGGTCTAATAAACCCAGATCTGCTTGTCTTCACACGTTCCCCCTAGTGCTGGGTCTCCTGATGTGTGTGGATGCACCCAGCTTTTTATGTGTGTCCTGCAGATCCAAATTCACTTCCTCATGATTGCACAACAAGTGTTTTGCCCATCGAACTACTCTCCAACCCTTGGAAGACTTCTGCATTTAGGGTAAAAAGCCACTTGTATAAAGGTAGAAGACAAAAACAGGAAAATGAGCACATTTAAAAAGAAAGGCATTGCTCTTTCTCCTGATATTCCTGTGTACCCCACTCCTTGATTCCTCCTCCAAGTGGTCCAGGATTCACAGAATAAGGACCTGATGGACAGCTAGGATCCAATTCAGCACCATAGCCAGCGCTGCCTCTTCTCTCCCCCCCCCCCCACAGTCCCCAGCATTTAAGCCTGTACTCAGGTCTTTGCAACTGACCTCCTGGGGTGATGACCTGGGGTGATGACCTGGTTCTGAGCTGACCTGGTGGTGAGCTTGGGGTGTTGAGCAGAGTAGAGACTCGGGCAGAAGAGGAATCTGTCCAAGTGTGAGCAGTCAGCCTCGTGGGATAGCCTCCCTGGCAGGAGGGAAGGCCTATCCCCAGAGTCTCTGAGGTGAGCTGTATACTGCCAAGAGACTTTATCTTTGTTGTTTTCTGTCTCACCACCACCCCAGAGAGAGGGACAAAGAGATAATAGCCTAATTTGTTGGGGTTCAGTGGCCCAAGCTGTGGCACCCAACATTCTACTTACCTTGATAATTAAGTAGATCTTTAAGCTCTCCCCGGTAGACATGGGGAAACTGAGGCCAGTGAGGATAAGGAATCTGCTCAGAGTCACACACAGGGCTTCATGAGCCCATCTTTAAGCCATAGGGCACCAGTGGTGTAAAAGCCCAGGATCCTAGTTCTGGTGGCTGCCCCGTCACTGAGCGGTCCTCAGACTTGAAAATGGTCCCTCCAGAGAGGTCCAATGGAGTGTGGCCTTAGTGCTTCTAGCTCTGCCAAGGAGTAGCTGTGGATCCCCTGGGAAGCATTGCTTCTTGGCGCTAACACTGAGATAATGACAGTATCCTCATGGGCTCCTCTTTGTGGTTAGATAAAGTGGAAAATGTACTGGCACTTTGCTTATAGACTGTATATGGGGACTCAGAATGCTCAGACAATCAATTAGTCCTGTCTGCCAGTTTCCCCTTCAACTGTGTTGTTAGCCTGACCATCCCAATCTCTCTGCCTCCCCCCTCCTGAATCCCCCCTTTCTTCCCTCCCTCCCCCATCCCTCCCCCACTTCCATCTGTTTCCTCCCCACCCTGCCCTGGGTCTCACTCTGTAGACCAGACTTCTGGCTCCAATGCTCGATCTTCCCGCCTTTACCCCTTCCCTCTCCTTGCCCATATCCTTCTACCTAGGAACTCAAACAATCCAGGGCCTGGTATGGCTCCTTCTCCTCCACCCCACTTCTAGGTTTTAAAGATCCATGTAGTGCCTTAGAGGACCTACCTCCCTCTCCCTGCAGGTGATGACACTTTAAGGTAACATGAATCAATGAAAAGCCAGGACTAGATCCCAAGATTCCCATTCTTGCATTGCAGAGCTGCAGAGGACAGGGCAACCTTCTTGTTAGCCTTGGGCACAGCCTGTGCATGCTTGGGTAGGGCCCTGATGGACTTTGCCTAGGCTGCTTCTCCAGCAGTTAGAGGTAAGATGAAGTTCTGTCTCCATAGCAACCTAAGGTCATCTCTATTTACCTTGTTCCACACCCCTCACAGGGTGCCAGGGAGAGATGGACTTCTCAGGGGTCAAGGGCACATGGGAGTTTAGAAAATCTCTGTGGTTTCATGCACAGACCACAGGAGAGACAGGGCCCTGGCCAGGGTACTTTGTATAGCTTCCCAATGAACCATGTAAGTCCATGCTATTATCTCCATTCTCTGAGGGGAGCAACTTCGGCCCTGAGAGGTTAAGTTGTTTTCCTAAAGTGAAGCCTGGTCTAGAGTCCGGGCCTATATAGTTTAAGACTTGCTGCTGCCCTGTAGGCTTCCCTTATCTGCCTTCAAGGCTACCCCATTCTCCTCTGGGCAGGGAGGTCTGTCCTGTCAGGGCTGTGGTGTGGGTGCTGGCCTAGAACTCAGTTCTTCCTGTCCAGTGTGGCCTGGGGGTGTCTCAGAGTCACATCCTCTCTTTGGGCCTCATTGTGCCCCTGAGATATATCCAATGGACTGCCTTGAGGACTGGACTGGCTATACTAATGAATGTCTCCTCTCTGGGGTGGGACAGGCTGCTGTGTGTTCATCAGAATGAGGGAAACAGACACCTGTGCCCTGTAACTTTAATTTAATACAAATGGATCATAATGCATGAAAGGGCAATGTTTTAAATAAAAATACTGTCAGGAGTAGCCCAGAGTCTGGGAGTTGAGGACACGTGTAGGGCAGTTGTAAGTGGGAGCCCCTCGGGTCCCTCCATTCTGGCTCCCTGGAGATGGGCATGCTCACCAAATCCCAAATAGAGGATTGGAGCCGCAGGACTACAGTGAGGCTGGGGGGCCATTTTGGTTGTACTTCTTCCTACTATCTACTCCTGAGTGTCGCCTCTGGGCAGGGACAGAGCCATGGAACTGGACATCTTTAGTAGATCTGCTTCAAAGCCAAGGCCTTGAGGTGGATCCACGAATTCTCCTGAGTTCTTCACAGTTGGATGCCGTGGCAAGGAAATTGTGGGTGGGCTTGCTCCACCTCCACACTGACTTTCTGTGTGGCTGAGGCTGGAAGAGAAAAACTACACTTCCCAGACTTCTTTGCTATCAAAAGTCGGGTTCTGACTCAAGTTTCCACAAAAAGAATCCATCTGAGAGACACAGATGTGGGACCTGAGTTGAGAGAGAGAGGGAGAGAGAGAGGGAGGCAGGCTCGGACAATCACTTGCTGGCATGGCCGGTGGCAGCGAGCAGCTCCTGAGGCAAGTGAAAACAGCTTTCCTGGTCACAAGACAGGATCACTGTGGCTGCTTGGAGTTGTTCCTGGAAACTCAGCAAGGCTCTCCTCCCCCAACCCTTCCTGTGATCTTGGAAGCCACCGGGGAGCTCATTGTGAATTCTTGTCTGATGAAGCCATATGAGAGTCAGATGCTAAGTCCAAGATGGTACCCATGAACAGCCCTGATGACAAGAACTGTTACCAGCACCCTCTCTGTCCCCACAGCAGGTCACAGAGAGCTGGCTGGACCTCTGTCCTTAGAGCTGCTGGAGACTTGGATTGTCCATGGATGCTTTGTCCAGACAGGGTTCTGCATTGGCCTCTGGGGTCCTTATACCTCAGGCTGCCCTAGTGGCATGACTGTACCATGTGGGCTACCTGTCACATGTCACAGCATCACCTCTGACTTGCAGATTAGTGGGAGAGGAAGAAACTCCCAGCTCCCAGCTTAGTACAGGGGTGGCAGGAGAGGGTGACCCTCAGATAACCCTAGGACCAGCTTCCCCCTGGGTCTCCTGTGGACTTGGATCACGAGTAAAACGGCCCATTACTCTCTTGGTCAGGGGCAAGTCATATCTTATGCCACGAGCATAAGATGATTCTGTTTATCTTTTGGGCTGCTAGCTATTGCTCTCATCTGCTCTGTCATGAGGCTAAGTCACCTGGGCAGAAGGAGGGAGATTTCTTGTCCCTGGGAGAATAAGGATGAGGGGTTGGGCAAGGGCTGCCCTGGGGAGAAGCCATGTCACATCCCATTAAGATCAGAGCTACAGGACATTAACCACAGAGCAGAGTCTCCAGCTTACAGGCAGGGCAGAGGATGCTGGGGGTTAAACAACTGGCCTGAGGTCTCAGGGTAGACACAGTGGGCCTCAATAGTCCAGGCCTTCATCTGCTGGGCAAAGCTCTTGCTGGTGGTCACAGCCCCAGGAGGCTTTGGCCTCCCTCAGCCCTGACTAGATTCGGACAGTGTTGATCCTCAGTGGCTGGACATTCTTGCCATTGGCATGGCTTTGGCCAGGGCTGAAGTAGGAGCAGAGCTTGCCAGGGAACTTCTCTCGGAAGGTGTAGAGCCACGACATGTCATCGGCATTGTAGAAGATGAGGAGGCCCTGGTCGTAGTCTAAGAAGACACCCACCTTGTCAAGCTTGTCACGGACATTGAGCCGTGTCCAGGGCTCTGTGCATGCACTGTACTGGTTGCCATCATGCATAACAATGCAGTAGAAACCACGACTAGGCTGGATCTGGATGCTGCCCTTGCGGCTGGCAGCCTCGTGGGCCAACCCAATCACCCACTGGGTCTTCTCTGCCACCACCACCTCCCAGTAGTGGACACCGCTACTGAAGGCTTCGGAGCCGAGCACTGACACCTCCACATCAAAGCGTTTTGGTGAGTCCTGCAGCGGCTGTGGGTGCAGGTTCCCGTAGGCCACAATGGTGCAGTCATCCGACAGGATCAGACGCTGGTGGGCAGTGCCTGGGTCCAGGGTCAGGGCAGCAGGCACTAGGTGGGAGAGAGGAGGATGGGAAGATCAGTGGAGAGAAGGCTATCAGTGCACTCTCTGGTGTCTCCCTGTGGAGAGGGTCCTGGTTGGTCTCCAGGAGACTATTGACCTACTGTGTCATAATATAAATGAATATAAACATGCCCTCTTGTCTGCTTCTTCCTCCTCTGCAAAATGGAACAACCCACCTTCTTTCCTCCTGGCTGCCAGGAGCAGCTGATAAGGTCACTGAATGATTCCCAGGGCAAAGCACCGGAGGAGGTTCAGAATAGGAGTTGGGAAGAACTGGGAAGGAGCAAGATTAGCCGGATGCTACTGCCCCCTAGAGGGCGGCCTGGAAACGTTCGCCACCTGTTCCAAGATTGGTGGGATGGAGGTCTGCTAAGTGAGCTGGGGCACAAGGAACTGTTCACCCTCCCCACTGAACTCCAGATGTCCTTCCAGACATCCAAGTGGTCAAGAAACCTTTGTATGTGGATCCGAGAATACAACCTGCCTCTGTAGTATGTATAAACGTGAGAAAGCTTTTGTAATTTTAAAACACATTGAGGATTTTGGAGCTCAATGATCAAACTGAGGGAGGCTACTTTTTATTGTTGTTGTTTAGAACCAAGACTGATTTGCTCAATACTTCTCCAAGGATGATAGATATCATTGGCATAGACAATCTCCTGAATGCTGTTTCAATTACACTGTGAGCATCTGGTTGCTTGGTTGTGTTTTCGGTGTAAATCTGAATGGGCTTCTGCACAATGTTCTTCAAAATAGTTAGTTATGGGCTGGGAATATAATTCCATTGGCAAAGTCCCTGCCTGGCAAGCACAAATCCCCAGGTTTGATTCCCAGCACCTCATAAAACTGGGTATAGTAATATGTGCCTGTAACTGCAACTCTCTGGAGATGGAGGCAGGAGGACCAGAAATTCAAGGTCAGCTTCTACGATACAGTGAATTTGAGGCCAGGCTGTGCTTCTTCAAAGAAGTTTAACTACAAACATTCTTCTGTTTTCCCTTTATATTATGGTCAGTTGTTACATATGCATGTGTACATTATTGTATATACATATATATTTAAAAGGTCATATGTGTAATCTGAGATTTTAAAATTTGTTATTAGTAAAAATATACAATGTACCCTAAAATGTTGGAAATCTCTAAGCCTACCAACTCTTCCATTTAACAGACAGGGAAATCAAGGTCAAAAAATGCTAGCAGAGCTGGAACTACTCAAGGCCACTTGGTACCTGGCCACAGCCCATCTCTTCATTCAGGCCTAAACCCTTTGCTCATGCTACCCCTCCAATCTCCCCCATCCTCTCTGCTGCAGAGACCAGCCCCCCTGGCTCCCCCCCCCCCCCCCCCGCCTTTGAAGACCCATCCTCTGGGAGCCTTCCTAATGGAGAATTCGATGGCACCTCCCTTGGCCTCTGGTGTTATGAGCAGCTCTTTGTGCTGCTCTCCTACACTAGGCATGGGCTTCTGGGCTCTTAACTTACCCACTTTGCACCCAGGCCTGTGTTGAAGTCAACATTCTCTTCCTTGAGAATTCAGTGCTCAGCACAGAGCCTGGCATGGGCAGGCTTCTGGACACACAAATGCATTCACCCCTGCCAGACAGGCTGGGTCACCTGGCTCTGAGCTGGTCACACCGGCTCAGCAGGTCTGATAGGACAGTCTCTTGAACTCTTGTCAAGACCTCTGTTTAGTCCTCTGGCTTATTCTGACAACCCCCTAAGGAGGGAGGGAAACTGGGACTGGAACTTCTCAGCTAAATGAGTGTTTCCAGGCCAGAGCAAGACAGAGGCCAGGGGTGGGGGTGTGTGGGGGAATGGGAGTGGGAGGGAGCGATGGAATACTGCTACAGTTCCTTGGGGCCAAGGACTTCCCCCAGCTCCTGGGAGCTTTCCTTATCAGCTGGAGCAGGGACACGATGCCATTGTAGGCCGCGTGTACACAGGGAAATAAGATGCTCCAGTGTCTGTAACTGTCCCACGAGGCAGCCATGGCCGGTCTCAGCAACATGCATCCCCAAGAGGCTGACCTGCACAGAGCTTCTGGGCCACGGTAACTCACGTCTTCACCCCACACTTCTCTCTTGTCCTCGGAATGTAAAGAGCTGTGAGGGAACCAGGAGCCCGGTGTATAGAGGGGCCCATGGGGGTGGGGGTGGGATAGTGAATCCACATGTGAACTTTTGCCTGTATGCTGTCAGTCACTGGGTAGTTGGTAAGAACAAGAAAGTTCCTGCCCCGTGCAGTGTGAAGAATTCCCAAAGTGAGAGGAAGGCTGGAAGCGTGTGTGTGTGTGTGTGTGTGTGTGTGTGTGTGTAAGAACATAATTAGATACAGATATTGTGTTGCTGCCGCTCAGGCAGTGCAATATGTTGGGGGTGGAGTGTTTGTGTGAGTGTTTAGGGTCCTAGGGAAAATGGCAGCATTGGGGAATGCCAGACTCCCACATCCCAGATACCAAGGATACTGTGAGGGGGCAAGCAAAAGGGAGACCCCCAAGGCTCAAGGAACAGTTAAGGGGATACTGGCAGGGAACATGCAGACTCTTAAGTCTGTGTAGAGTAGTGTGGGCTACTTCCAGAGCCACTGCTGAGTGGGTGGGGCTCCTGGCAGTTCTGAGACCGGTGTGACAACGAAGAGCTCTGGGCAGAGGAAAGCCAGACCCCTGCAAGTGTAGGAGAGCAGGGTATCCATCCTCTGTGCAGGCCCTGGTTCCCTGGGGAGGGGGCAGGGCCTGGGCTGTGAGCCTGGCCTTTCCCCTAGGCAAGAGGTATGGTCTGACTCTGAGTTGGCTTTTGCATTCCAGAGAATGTGAGGCTATCACACGCTCTCCCACCTTATCCATAACAGAGGGTCCATCTCCAGGACTCCAACACCCTCCCTGAGGCTGTTAAGAGCAGTGACCTTCAGTTCACAGAGAGCAGTGAGGGACCCCGAGGGACACTCTGGTGTGGCAGCTCCTCCTCCCCCCTCCAAGAAGCCTGTACCCTCAGCATAGTGAGACCCAGTGAAGCCAAAGCTTTCTCCAGGCTCATCGCCTTAGAGGTCAGAGTTCACGTCTAGCTCTTATTTATAAGCAAAAGGCTGGTCCCAGAGGCCTCTCTCCTCTCCAGGTATGTTTTGAGTCACCTTGGGTCAAAAGGCACCCAGGAAGGGTCCCAGACTTCCAGACTCCATGAAAATGTTTCCCGTTCTTCCTCAACTATCACCTTAGCAGTAGAGCAAGGCCTCCCAGATGTCCAGCCCAGGACACTGCCTGGCAGCTGGAGGCCCATGTCTCTTTGTTCTCCTGTAAATAGGGGTCTCATGGGACAGTGAATATGTTCTGTATATTTTTTCCCCTCTCCAAGCCAGGCCTTAAAAAAAAAAGTCTAGTCCTCCAGGTCTCACACCTTCTCAGGCCCTCCGCACCCCGAGCTTCCCTTCACAGTCTCTGTACAGACTAGGCATGGCTCCAGAGAGAGGCCCAGTAGCTCCAGGGCCTTGATGATTGTAGCCATTTTCCAGAAGGGAAAACTGAGGCTCTCTGAGGCAGGCAGCTTGCTTACATTTTACTTGGGGTGAAAGGTGAATCGGAATCCCTACCAGCAAGGTAGGGAAAGTGTCTGATTCATAACAGTAACTAGTAAAGTGTGCTTACTAAATTATGGGATCATCTTCACAAAGAAATCCATTCTCTATTATCTTCCCTGGGCAACACCTGGGACCATCTCTAAGGTGCAGGTGAAGAAACCGAGGCTCAGCTGTGGAGGGGGAGGGGAGAAGAAGGGAGGGGGAAGGCAGTTTGCTTCGCTTTGGCTCACTCAGTGGGCTAGAGAACATTCTGGGTCTCTAAATGATTAGATCTAGATGAGTAGCAAAGGGGGTGAGGCCAGACAAGGCAGGGAGGCTGAGGAGCGAGAGGGGTGTCTGGTGTCCTGGGACAATGGGCTGCCTGGGAGGGGCAATAGGGCTGGGTCGGCAGAGGGATGGTGGGCCAAGGGCTGGGGGCTGAGCAGGCACTCCAGAGTAGGGGAGCAACAGGTGTTAGACGAGGTTCTCAGATGACCCAATGGGAGGCTTAGGCTGTAAAGGAGGGGCAGTCGGGAAGCCACTAGAAGCCACAGCTAGGTCCCTGGGGGAAGGCAGCTCTCCCATGTGTACATAAAAGGCCCTGGTGCTCACTGAGGAGCCAAAGTGAGTTCATAGATCCCACAGACAAAGAAGGGCCCCAGCCAACCAGGTCACTGTTGTCTCAAGTCCCAGGGGCCTTTGCTCAGGTCACACAACTGCCCCTTCAGTCCTTTTGAAGGCAGGGTTCTCAGGGCCTGTGGTCTCAACTGAGAGAATTTTGCTCCCAGATGAAATATGACCAAGGCCTGAGTCACTTTTGGTTGAATAGAGGCTGCAGAGGTTGCTAGACTCCTGTGTGTAGGACAGGGCCTTGTGGATCAGAGGTAAAGAGGCTGAGACACCCTGCTTGGAGCCATCATCCGCTCACTTGTGATGGAGGCAAAAAGGGATATCCATCTGAGCTAGAGGAGAAAGGGAAGCATCTAAGGACCTTATTGCAAACCTGTTGTATACACTAGGCACTATTCTAGTCGTGGACTTGAGTCTAACATCTGTTCTTTTATTCCTCCATCAATAAACATTGACTGCTGGCTGCAGGGGATTAATTGAACCCAGCCTCTGGCCCCTAAGAGCTCAAAGTCCAGAGAGGGAGAGAGAGACAGAGACAGAGCCAGACAGAGAGAGACAGAGAGACAGGGACACAGAGACAGAGAGACAGGATGAGAGAGTGAGCCACACAGGCTATGGTCAAGGATTGTGATCAGAAAAGCCCAAGGTTACCTGAGGAAACCCAGGAAGGCATTTCAGCTGAGGTGTGTAAAGTGAAGCTACAAAGAAGAATAAATTTTGGTTATCGAGTACCAAAGATGGCATTAAGGTCTCCAGACGAAATGTGGAGAGGAGGGAGAATTTGACTCACACAAAGCCTGGTGATTGCTCAGTACAGCTAGTGTGATGTCTTGGACTGACTGGGTGAGGCGCCTGTGACGGGGATGGGGCAGGTGGCATCTGAGGCAGAAAGCTTCTAGACCATCCACTGGAGTGGTGCCCTGGGACCCAGGGTAGGAGAGAAAAAGATCCTGGGGTTCTTGTCTCTCTTTAAGTACTCCGCTTCAGTCACCTACAGCTCAGTGTGAAAGTCCTTTAGGGGCTGGAAAACGATCCCTTCTCCCAACCATTGTTGCTTTTGTTAATTAGCCCCCCATCATCTCTAAGACAGAAGGAATAAATGACATGTTAGATGAGGCCTGTCACCTGAAGGGGAGCCCCAGCTCTGTGACCCAGCATCCACCCCCGGGGTATTGTACCAGGGACCTCTCCATCACTGCTGGGGCTCAACTGAAGACATTCTGGGGTGACCCATGCTCTCCAGTACCCAGTGCAAACCTGAGCTTCTCCTGGCTGCTCCATTCGGAGCTTTTGAGTGATTGACCCTAACCCTAACCCCATACCCCTGGGTTTCCATTATGTTCAAGTGTCATGTCAGAGCCCTGTCCCACTAGACTACCAGGTTCTGGTCACTTGCCTGTCTCTCTTGACTCCTGAAACTGAGGGACAGTCGCTGTTTGTGGAATGAAATAATGAATCCATCCAGGTGGATGGATTCTGACATCTGTGTCAGGACAGAAAACATCTGTCCCTGCACTGGAGGAGCAGGCAGAGTAATGCAACCTTCTCTAGAGGGTTTTCTGGGGACTCAGTGAGCTCAGCACAGGCTCTGGGTCACAGCAGAGGATCCATCCAAATGCTCTATCTCTGAGCCTCCAATTCTACACAGGTGACCTGTGGGTGACCGTGTAAGAGCCCAGGAGCCGAGTATGTCATGGTGATACAATGCACTTAAAGATCAGAACAGAACATCAGTGGGCACTCGGCCCACTTCCTGCTCTGCCACCTGTCACACCTGGCCCAGGTGGCAATCCGCACTTCTCCCTATCTCTCCAGGAGGACAGGCAGAGCCTCACCTGGGTGGATGTCTTGGAAAAGAGACTTCCAGATGGTGTACTGCAGGGGGCCCGTGTACTTGGAGGTTGGGAAGTCTTCGTATGTCAGGTTGGTCTCATGGATCTTCCCCTTGAGCCTGGAAGGACAGTGGGAGAGAAGGCTTCATGGGGTTAGGGATGCACTCACAGGGCGAGGTCATGAGTGAGACTCAAGTGCCCGCTCTTCCATGTTGGACCTCTCTGTTATCTTCGGTTTGTTTGCTCTTCTGTAATAAGGGTACTGTGCAGCTGTTTCTCAGGCCCCTGCCAAAGTCAAGTGCAACAAGGTACCATGCTAGGCCCTGTGTTTCCAGGCCAGTAGAGGGGATTTCATGGAGCAATGTATAGGAAATGCTTAGCTTAGTGGCTCGCTCATGGCCAACATCAAGCGTATGATGGTAGTGGTGAGTGTTGATCTCTAGCAAGCCAATACTAAGTGATGCCATGAAGGGGAGCCTTGAGTTGCCTGGGTTTGAACCCTGGCTTTACCACCAGCCCCAGTAACCTTGACAAATTAATCAACTGGTCTAACTTCTCTGAGCTTCAGTTTCTATATTTGTGAAATGAGTGTTGTAAACTCCCTGCAGGGTGCTCAAAGGTGACAATAATATAATAATAATAATATAATGTCTTTATAGGATGGTATATAGTATTAATGCGATTGTAAATTAGGGCCTGAGGAGATAGCTCAGTTGGTAAAGTTCCAGCCTTGCAAGCATGGGCTCCTAAGTTCAATCCCCATAACCCATGTCAAAACAAAAACAGGTGTGGTGGTGTGCACGTGAATACCCAGGGCTGGGGAGGTGGAGACAGGAGGATTCCCTGGGGGCTTGATGGCTAGCTGGCCAGTCATAGCCTGCTTGGAGCGCTCAGGTCAATGAGACCCCATCTTAAAAGTGTGGGGCACAGAGACCATCAGAGGTTAGATGCTTACTGCTCTTCAAGGGCACTTGAGTTTGTTTCCCAGCACGCATGTCCAGTGGCTCACAACTGCCTGTAATTCCAGCTCCAGGGGATCTGACACCCTCTTTTGGTCTCCACAGGCACCCGTACATTTGAGTTATACACTAAAACAGACACACGTACCTATAACCTTGAAGAAAAAAAAAAGCCCAAGGTGGACAACACCTGAAGAATGACAGTTGAGGTTGTCCTCTGGCTTTCACACACATGAACATTCACACCCCATCTTCCCAAACACATAAAATACATATGTGACACATAGTACAAAAGTGTATTTAAATGAGCATAAACATTATCCAATATTGCTTATGCTGATATACTATAGGTAGGATGTATACACATATATTGTTCTGAGATAACTTTTCACTCTGTAGCCCAGGTGAGCCTCAAACTTATGACAAACCTCTTCTCTTAACATCCCCAGTGTTATGATTACAGGTCACCATGCCCAGCTCAAACAGAAATATTATATACAGAATAATATGGAGATGGGAGGCTTTTAGCTTGGGCTCTGGCATATTAATAGCCAATTCCTATAAACAATGATGAAAACATGATTGGATGAATGATCTGCAGACAGTCCCAACCACCTGAGCCCCTTCCCTGCCTCAGTTGGTTGGGAGAGGCAGTCGGGGAAGGCTGCAGTCAGATGGCACTTACCTCTCAGACAGGGAGGCCACTCCAGCAAGGAAGGTGTGCCTGTCAGTCTCTGCCAGCCGCTCCTGCAGGATCTGGGCACCCTCTTGCACCTTTCGCAATTGCTGGCTGTAGCGCTGGACCTTCTGCTCAATGTCAGTCAGTGTGCGGGCCGTGTCAGCTTCCAGCTCCTCCAGCATGGCTTTCTGGCGCTCACGCAGTATCCTGTGCAACCGCTCAAAGGCCTCCCCGATGGTGGTCCGTAGGCTCTTGGTAGAGGACTGGGCGCGGGGTGGGGGGAGGAGTGGGGAGAGATAACCATCAGGGGTTATGAGAAGGTGTAGGTGGACCCAGTGTGACTCTCACTGTGTCCGGTTGCCAGTGAGAGGGATAGCTTTGACAGAAGAATGGAGAGGAGAGGGGCTTGCTCCGGGTACGGCACACAGATACGCAAGGCAACAGGATGGGATCTGCACAGGACAGAAGGAAGGGCTTGTCGTTGCATGCGAGTCCATCAGGAGACTACTGAAGTGGTACAGCAGAACCGATGAGGCTGTGAAGGACAGGGATGGACGATACTGCCCAGCTTCCTGCATGAGGGAAGGCGGGATGGGAAAAGGCCACATAGGGGATGCCTGTGTGTCCAATCTGGGATTTAGTGGTCTGTATTTCAAACAGCTCATCTGCAAGTTTCAAAGGATGATGACAAAGGGGGCCATGGAGGTCAGAAGCCATCATAAACAGGCAGAGACTGGGGAAATCTTAGTGTTTACTTGTCCACCCTGCTGCCCTAGGACCCCCACTGTAGGAACAAGGCCACTGCTAAAGGAGGTGTGCACAGACTTAGAGACGTTCCCCTCCCCCAGGCCCGAGAGGAGACAGAGGAGTGACTGCGGAAGGGTCCCAGCTCTCTGTCTGTACTGTGGTTGGCCTCAGCTACCTGAGCTCTGTGTACCTCAGTTTCCCTATCTGTGAGAGGGGTTATAAAAGCCACACTGCAGGGGCGTGGTGGAGATGCTCATCAAATGAGCTGCAACTCCAGGCACAGAGGGAAAGTTGATGGACGTACAGCAAAGGGATGGTTTCTAACAGGCATGCACATGGAGTCCACTGCAGGGATGGGGTGGGGGAACATTGGTTGGGCATGGTGGGGGTGGGGTGGGGGGAGAGGGAGTAGGCTGAGGAACACTGACAGTCAGGCGACACAGGATGTGGCCGCTTGTGGGGCCTGCCTCTGCAATTTCACTTTGAGGGCCTCTGACTGGCAGTTCATAGAGTCAGAGACCCCCACTGTGTTCAGTGCCTGGGGCTCTGTGGGAGGCCCCACAAAGGCTCAATTAGGGCCTGTTCTCTCCTGTGGTGGCTGCTGGCCTGCAGGAAGAGTGGCTGGCAGCAGGCCAACCTGGCCGCGCATGCCCACCCAACACGCCAGGAAGACAAAGGAGGCGTGGAGGCGAGGCTGGGCATGGAGGGAAAGGCTGCTTACTAGGGGCCTCCTGGAGCTGCTCACCCAGAGAGGTTGAGGCTGCTGCTGCTGCTGGGAGGATGGGGCCCAACGGTCCAGGGCCTCCAGGTTCCAGGCTAACCCTTTCTGGCCCCTGCCAGTCTGCCCCACAGCACTAACCACCTAGGGGCTGACAGCCTTGGTTTGTCTCTGTTTCTGTGGCTGAGCCTCCCCCACACTTTCCCTGACAGGCTTTCTTTCACTTGTCCAGGTGTTAGGCATGCCAGGGTTCTTATCTGCTGTCTCCTCCATAATCTGTCTCTCTAGCTGGTGCACGAATCCTCCCTAAGTAAGAACAGAATGTTCCCTGACCCTGTGCACATCCCAGGCCTGGTACAGGCTGGAGGTCAGGACAGCTTCACTGATGAAGGGGAGAGGCAGGGAGGGAGGCAGGGAGGGAGGCAGGGAGGGAGGGACTTGCTTAAGATTGCATCCCAAAATTGAGGGCAGACTCCATTTTCTTTCCAGGCTAGAGCTCAATGTCCCCGGGACAAGAGAGGAAGGACAGAGAAAGAGGAAGAGAGGTAGAGAGAGGGGGCCAGGAAGTGGCATATCAGAGTGACAGTCCAGGAGTTTTATCCACGATCCTGTTGGGTCTTCCCAAACTCTTTACAAAGAAAGTCTTATGTCTTGCCACTAAAACAAGCTACGGGGCCTCAGTCAGTCTCTCCTGGCTGAAATCTCCTCCCTGATAAAAGTGGGATTGCGCCTTCTCACTACCAAAGGAGTTTTGTTGTTACTGTTATTGTTCACTCACTTGTCCTACAACTCCTTACTAGGGACCAGATGTCATGCTAAGTTTGGGGGGGGGGTCCTGCTCTCATGACTCCCGGGGTTTGAACTTATGCTGTCAGGCTTGGCAGCAAGCACCTTTCTACACCGAACTGTCTCCCTGACACTACTCTATTGACTCCTAAGGCAGAGCCCTGCCTTTCATGTTAGCTCCTTGGTGGGGAAGGCAGCCCGGCTTACCACATTCCCAGACACACACTGGGTCTGGGGCAGCTGTGGCCCTTTCAGAAACACTCTGCCAAGAACATGTCATCTCAAAGTCTACCAAGGAAAACATGGTCTGAGGAGGGAGAGCAGACAGGCCTCTAGGCAAGGCCATTGGAGGGCAGCGGGCAGGCAGGCGCTGCAGCGGAGCCAGTCAGACACCAGGTGAAATATGGCCTCAAAACCTCCATCAGCATTTCTTATATAAATACACCCGTCCAGACAGGAAGCCAGGCTGGGGAAAGGGAGGGGAGGCGGGTTCCCCAGCAGCCCGCAGATGGACAGGAAAGGTGGGCAGGAGGTCAGTGGGGAGGGGGAGGAATCTGCTGCAGGGAGAGCAGACCCTCAGATACCCCCATCCAGAGAGGTTTCCATCTGTTTCTCCTCACGGGAGCAGTGTGGAGTCACCAGATAGACAGAGAAGCCAAGGCTCTGAGAAGCCGCGAGGTCGCAACCCGTGGCTGTTTCTCATCTGTCACCCACCAAGGGGTCCTGCTCAGAGGCCTCTGGAATGTCCTCTGAAGGAATGTCTGTCATGACCCTCCCAAGACCACGCAGTGGGTTGGTGGCCGTGCTAGAACACAGATGTAGGTTACCAATGTTGTCTCCAGGCCAGGTGACCCCAAGGCTCTGTCCAGGCTACAATGGCTTTCATCTTGTAGAGCAGGGTCAGCCCGAAGTCATTCCCTAGCGTCCCTCTGTATGTGAAGCTCTCCCCCTAGCCCTGAGATCTGGATTGAACTGGCCAGAGTCCCCACTGTTTAGATAGGAAGCCCGGGAATGGGATTAGCCCAATGTCACATGGTCGGTGTTAGGACTGGATCTGAGTACTCTTCCCAAGTTAGGGACAAAAGGTCCCATCCCATCACTGTAGCCAGAGACCACAGAACAGAATTCTGCCCTGCTTTTCAGAGTTGGAGTCAGGTCCCCCATCCTTTCCAGACAAGGTCTTGCCATGTAGCCTAGGTTGGCCTGAGACTCAACACTCTCCTGTTGCAGCCTCCTCAAGGCTGGGATTACAGGTGTGCCTCATGACACCTGGGTTTAAAGTCCTTATCTCTATGCTTGAGTGCAAGACGGGGGATGACACCAGTCATAGCTTGGAGGGGACACGCTACAGTTGGCTCCTGGGCAACGGGCCTATTTAAAAGGGAGAACAAGGAGGTACTGAGTAGATCTTGTCAGCCCTTCCTGGTCCCAACCCAGTGCCTGTTGAAGTTGAAGAGAAATGGTCCCACTTAGGCTCCAAAGCCTTCTGTGACGTTGGGGAGGGGCCCTGCTCCCATTTGCTATCTCAGAAGCTCCACCCTGAGATAGACCCATCCTGCCTGTCTCCCTTCATGCTTAAGCACTTGGAAGCCAGGTTTCCTCAGAGGGCTGGAGAATTCATATTCCTGCCTCACCACTGCCCCCCCCCCATCCCCACACTTGGCCAGGCTCACCTTGGTCTCCGCCAGCTGTCGCTTAAGTAGCTGCAGTGCCTCCGTGTGCTCACGCTCGCTGTCCTGAAGGGCTTGAAGCTGCTCCTTCAGTTCCCTCTGAAATACACACAGGGCCTGCATGGGGGAGTAGGCCACACCCAGCCAGGGCAGTGTTCGATGATAGAGAGCCCAGCTCTGTTGGCAGCTGGGGCCTATCCTGCCCTTGACCTCAAACCCCAATGCCCACCTCCCATTATAGTTTACCCATCCTATTCTGTTGGCTTTGTTTCCTAAATCCAAGAGAGAACACTCCGTCACTGAGCTATGTCCTAGCTCTCTTTTTTATTTTGAAGTATGGTCTTATTCTACAGGCCAAGTTGGTCCAGAACTCACTATGTAGCCAAGGTTGACCTCAAACTTGTAGCAGTCCTTCTGCCTTACCTTTTCAAGTAGCTAGGGTTATACTCATGAGTTACTAGGACTCAATCTCTAGTCCTCCTGATGCCAAACAATCTCATCACACCCTCCCTCACCCTGCCCCTCAGCCATTGGTTGGCACCTGTGTGGCACTCTGATGGGGACCCAGACTGCAGCAGCACAGCCCACAGCCGCATGCTCACTGCCTACATACAGTCTCTGCTTGCCTGGTTGGACCCGGCTCTCAGTCTCCTGCTGGTACTAACTCACCAGAGCCTTTCCTGTATCTCTATCACTACCCCTCATTCTCAAGTGGGAAAAGAGGTCAAGAACCTGGCTCCAGACATACAGCCAGCACATGCCAGTCAGGGTCAGCATTGTGAGCTGGAGCCGACAAGCTTAAAGCCAGGTGACATATTTCCACAATGATGGCATCTAAGATGATCCACTGCAACAAATCCAGGCAGACAAGGCATCACCTCTCAGCTGAAAGCAGGACTGAGGACGGGGAGACAGTCGGTCAGTGAAGTGCTTGCCATGCTAGCATGAGGCTCCGAGTCTGATCTCCAGCTCTGACATAGGAAGCTTGTTGTGGTAGCACATGCTTGTTACCCAAACACTAGGAATGGGGTAAGGGGATGCCTGGGACCCACTGGTGAGCCAGACCCACCTAGTTGGTGAGCACTTAGTCCAACGAGAGACCTTGTTTTAAAAAAGTAAAGGTGGAGGGCTGGAGAGCAGACTCAGCTGTGAAGAGCACTTGCTGCTCCTGCAGAGGCGCCAGGTTCAGTCCGAGCACCCACAAGGTGGGCCACAGTCTCTGACTTCAGCTTCTGGGATGAGATGTCCTCTTCTGGCCTCTTTGGCCACCACATGGGCATGTGGGGTACACAGACATGAATGCAGGCAAGCCCTCATATACATAAAATAAAAAATTTTTTAAATCCTTAAAAAGTACTAGCAAAGAGAAACCTTTTTTCCAAAAAAAGTAGAGTGCTGCTAAGGATTGACAGATGAGGTTGACCTCTGGCCTATAAGTGCACTTGGACACACACACACACACACACACACACACACACACACACACACACGCCTCCCCCTCTGACCAAAAACAGACTCAGTACTGTGATGTTTCCTCTGTCTGAAGTTCCATTTGGCTCAGCAGGACACTTGCGATGGCCTTGCTTAAAATATTGATAGTTTGTTCATTACGGGTTTTCTGGTATTAATTTTGTCCAAAAACTTGATCACTGAGGTATTTGGTGCCTGCTTCTGCGGCTCCCTCCCCTGCCTCTCGCCTCCAACCTTCTCTCTTCTTGCTCCCATCCAGCCAAAATGGCTCCCCAGAGCAGGCTCAGCGCTTGGGACATTATTTCGGTAGTGGTGGTGCAGGGTGGAACCCAGCCTTGTGTGTGCTAGGGGAGCACACCACAGTGAAGCCACATTCTCATCCCTCCAGCCTTGGGACTTTGCACTGTTTGCTCAGGCTTAGCATCGTTTGGTTATCAACTGGAGTCTTGTCTGCCTGCCCCACAGGCAGAGGCAGCTCCCTTACACAGCCTTGGGGTCTTCACTGTACCTTTCCTTGACAGAGGAGAGCATACTCGTCCACGGCTTGTGTGTGTGTTGCTTGCCTCGCTCACTGGGATAGGACTTTTTTGAGTGGGAAACCCTGTGCAGTTTGTTTGCTGTTATAGCTTCTTGCATTCTCAGTGCCCAGAGGGTCCTAGCACATGGCAGAGCCTGTTTATTTGTCAAATAAACAAATCAGGGTGGGGGTGGATGGCCCCCAACAGAGTCCAGCTGTCTGCACTTACTGAGCCTCTCGACTCTGTCTCATAGGCAATTGTCCTCCTGTCTGTCCCTCCTCCTTCCCTGCATTAGCCCTTGGGTTCCCTTACTACTTATCTCCCTCTGTCGTCTGCATCCAGGGGCTATCTGGTACTAGTTGGGGCTCCAGGAACGGGCTGTATGAGTAAGTTTCCATGAAAACAGACCCGAACAATTCCTGGGGACCCCAGTCAGCTTAGGCCATGTGGTGCTACACAGGCTGAGGGGCTGGTTCCTTTTTTTTTTTTTTTTTTTTTTTAAATAAGATTTCTTTGTGAAGCCCTGGCTGTTCTGGAATTTGTTCTGTAGACTAGGCTGGCCTCGAACTCCAGAAATCTGTCTGCCTCTACCCCCATGTGCTGCTGAGATTAAAGGCTTCCACAACCACCCCTGCCGGTTCCTATTTTTATCTCCCTCTTACTTATCCTTCTTGTCAGGGCAGGTAGGATCCTCGACAAAGCACAAATAACTGGTCCAACTCATCCTACAGCCTAAGCACTGACAGGAGGAAATGTCCATGATAACATAATAAAGGAGGAGAACACACAATTACCTCTGCTTACTATCACTTATTCATTCTCCAATCGTTTATTGACCAGCTACGATGAAAAGGGCACTGCTGAGGTCTGGAGATACTACAGAGACCAGGGCAGATGCAGTTTCCGCCCCCGGGAACCTCCAGTCCAGTGAGAAACCCCCATAATAAACGGGAAAAACAAGCAACTAGAGAGGGGATGGCCAACATGGCCCATGCTCTAGAAAAGATGGCGGGGGTGTGCAGGGCAGGCCAATTTAGATGCCGTGGTTGGGGAATTCTACTCAGAGGAAGGCAACTGAGCATGAAGACAGCCATGAAGAAAACACAGGCAACAATAACAACAACACGGGGGCCGTGTGCTTTGTGAGGATAGGGAGCTTCAACAGACAGGACGGCTGGAACTCTAGTAGCCATCTCAGTACGAGGCGACTGTGACAGCAAACGCCACAAGCTGAAAGCAGAAGAGAAAGAAGTAACTGTGTCTCTGAGGACTGTGGGGACAGGTACACAGTCACCAGACCTGTTCCCTGGGAGGAAAAAAAGGAAGGGAGGGAGGGAGGGAGGGAGGAAAGAGGGAAGGAAGGAAAAGAGGGAGGGAGTGAGGAAGGAAGGATAGAAGGAGAAGAGGAAGGGAGGGAAGGAGGGAGGGAGGCAAGAGGGGAGAGAAGGGAGGAGGAGAAGAAGGAGGGAGGGAGGGAGGACAGAAGGCAGGTAGGCCCTATACTGTTAACGAATTCCAATGGTGTCAATGCTCTCCAGAGTGGATCTCAAGGTGTCTGCATGACAGCAAGAGATATGAAAATCAGCTCCCAGGAGCCAGCTCAGTGTCTGCAGCACCCCAGAGCTGTGGCCCTCTCCGGTGGACTTGCTTTTCCTAAGAGAGAAATCACTCCCTCGAAGCCCCTCCCTCAGCCCGACTAACCTATCAGCAGCTGTGGGTCACTCCCTCGAAGCCCCTCCCTCAGCCCGACTAACCTATCAGCAGCTGTGGGTCACTCCCTCGAAGCCCCTCCCTCAGCCCGACTAACCTATCAGCAGCTGTGGGTCACTCCCTCGAAGCCCCTCCCTCAGCCCGACTGACCTATCAGCAGCTGTGGGTCACTCCCTGGGCTTGGACCTCCTAGTCCTCCACAAATAGGCCTATTTCAAGGCGGTGCAGTGTGGCTCCTGACAGCTTGGGGTCTGATCTAGCTTGGGAATTTGTCTGGTCAAGAGGTAGATGTTTGGAGAAATGGCTAGTGCTGTATTCTCCCCCACGGTGGTCACCACGAGTCCTGTAAGGTCCTGTTCACATTGTTCACAACATCCAGGGAATCGAAACAAATTCCTCACTGGTTTTGAACCCAGGGTACAAGGAATTGTCTTGCCAGGAATTGTCTTGCCCTTCTTACATCCATCCGGGGGCAGTGGAAATGGTCACTCCTCTACACACACACAGCCAAGGCCTCCTAGGACACCAAAGCACTGTCAGGGCTGAAGAGAGAGAAGCGAGGGACGGGGTGAGCTGGGGAGAGAGGACAAACTCACCACAGTGGATTCCCGGATAGCGATGGGGATATCACACCTGCCTTTCCTACTGAGGAGGGGTGGCTGTATGGGGTGAAGGGTACCTACTCCCACTGACGCTTTCCTAGCCAGAAACTTGCAACTCATCTCTGAACCCGTCCGGTCTGCCCTCAGGCTTGCTGTGGAGTCTGGTCCAGTCACCACAGCCCCAGCTCCTGATTCGGCCTTCATCACATCCTTTCTGAATTCCAACATCAAGCCCCGCCTCTGTTCTGTACCAGGTGCCCCCACATCAGCTTCAGTGGACACAAAAAGTTTTCTCCAAATCCCCAGGGTTTCTTCAGAGTCTGGGAGGAAGGGCACAAGGCCTTGGGGCAGCATTCAAGGCTTTCCACACTAGTCCCGCCGTCTCATCTCTAGGCTTCTCTTGGTCTATACCTGCACTGTTCAGCATGACAGCCTTCAGCCTCATGTGGCTATTTACATTGCAATGGGTGAAAATGAAATGGAGTGGAAAATTCAATTTCTTGACTGTACTGGTTTCATCTCATCTCAAGGGCTCAATAGCCACTTAGGGCTGGCAGCTATAGCATCAAGCAATACAGATGCAGAACTCTCCAGTGTTCCAGAAAGTTCTATTAGACAGCACTAAACACCGTGTAGTGTTTGTCTTCCAGCTCTTGATCAATGTGGTCTCTGTTCAGGATGCTCACGTGACAGCCTGCCTCCCTGTCGTGGGACATGCCTCTCTGTGTGCAATGTCTGTCCTTGCACTGCTGAAGCACATGAATTCACCCTTTGAGATAGGGTCTCACATAGCTCAGGCTGGCCTGGAACTCACTAA